ATTTTTTTGTCTATTTCATTGTTTTTACTTCTTTTTTTGTTTAGAGATGGTTATCCTTAATTTCAATCTTCAACAATATTATACAGTAAAATATTCTTTGTAACTGCAGAACGACTTCTAATCAGTTTTAACATATATCTGATATGCTTTTAAAAAGTTTAAAATTGATTTATTTTTTACAAATTTAAGCTTTTAAAATAGAAATTATCATTTAGTTATTTATTATATACTTTCATTAAACTAGATAAATTTATACTTCTCTGTGAATTGACTTGCACTAAGAGAATTGTACTTATATATATATATATATATATATATATATATATATATATATATATATATATATATATATATATATATATATATATATATATATATATATATATATATATATATATAATATATATATATATGTTGTGTGTGTGTGTGTGTGTGTGTGTGTGTGTGTGTGTGTGTGTGTGTGTGTGTGTGTGTGTGTAATGGTTTAGTATATTTAATATTTAACGTAGTTTCCAAAATAAATAAAAAGCAAAAAATGTGATATAAGTGTTTATGAACCATATAATATAAGATAATTAAAAGGTAAAACAACTATTTATAAATATATACTATAAGTATTGTAAAGTGATTTTAATTTTTGTATTATACAATTATTTTTAATATTTTTTTTTATTGTTTGTTTATATTATAAACACTTTATGTATTATAAAGTGAGTTTGTGAATTACGCAATTAATGTTTTTGTGTTATTTCTAGACATGAAACATGTTTTTTCCGAATAATTCAATTGATTTTTAACATACAAGACAAGATGTAATTATTTATTATAATTGTATATTATACTTTATTTATTATAATTGTATATTATACTTTATTTTTGTTTATTGCTGTACAAGTTTTGTTATGTATAAATACATAATGTAAATTTATGTATTGTTTATAATTATGAAAGATGCGTTATTTGTACATAATAATAAAACATAAATAATAAAACCAATGTTAGCACAACGCCCTATTTTAAGTTAGCAAAGTGTAATAATTTAAGTTGATTCAACGTTTTATATCTGTATATATATATATATATATATATATATATATATATATATATATATATATATATATATATATATATATATATATATATATATATATATATATATATATATACATATAGAACATACATACATACATACATACATACATACATACATAGAGAGAAAGAAAAAGAGAGAGAGCAAAAGCTAATTGCAGCAATTAAAAACTTCTATCCATTCATCGATTACATTAACATTAATCATGTTTGTTTTGCTTTTCGTTTGATTTTTCAATATTCACGAAAGATTTTATAATTTTACATTCGCAACATCGCGTTGAAAACATTGGATCAACGTTGTTCCGTATACATTAAATAAACGAGTAATATAAATAAGATCAACGTCGGATTTAGATAGTAATATCTATCAACTTTTGCTATGTTTTTACATACTTTGGATCAAGGGCGTATAAATAGATGGACGTTTTTATAGATTTTTATAGATTTAAAAAAAAAGACTCAATTTTTATGACTTAATAATTTTTAAACCTTAAAATCACACCCCTCTACATCTCCCTTTCAAAGTTAAAACAATTCTTTGGCAATCCTAAATTGCGCGGCAAATTTACGTACGTTGCCGTACTTTTTTCGCGGCTAAATTTTAACGAAAAAATGAAAAACTAAAAAAGATAAAAATTTGCAAAGGCATAACTTTAGATTATAATATCGCACAAAAAATTTGGGTGCTTCACGGCTTATAGTTTTTCAATAACTCAGGGCTTTCAAAACGTTCGCCATGTTGCCCCACTTTCCCCTACTCAAAGCAATTTAAATTCAGATCACCTAATATGTAAAGTAATTTCTTTTCGTGGTCGATTTTATTTATAACATCATTATGTAAAAATGTAGTAAATGTTTTAATTTTGCCAGTAGGTGGGCGATAATAACAGCTAATCAAAATGTTTTTAGTTTTATCGATCAATATTTCAATCTTTAAAACCTCTTTAGTGACGTCAGAAATACTCATGTCATGCCTAATATAATACCGCAGGTTTTCTTTTACATAAATAATTAAACCACCGCCATAATGAAATCAAATTATAGCCCGGTATTTTAAAATTATTATCTAAATTTGAGTCATCAGAACTACACCACAAGTTTCAGTTAGGCATATTAAACTAAAAATAGTTAGATTTTCCTCAAAAACTATTGCAAAGATTTTCAAAATTTTTTTGTAAACTTCTTATATTTATATGAATTGCGTTAAATTTATCACACTCAAGAAATTATTTTTATTTCAAAATTATAAAAATAGCTACAGTTGTAAAGCATCAGTTTCACTAAAATAACTTTCATCCGGATCGGATCCTTTGTTAAGTATAAAATCATTGAATTGAAAAATATCAAAATTTTTAGAGCAATTTGAATCCATTTTAGTATTTAAAAACAATAAAAATTAAGAAAAAATAATAATAAAGAAAAATTCACTAACTCTACGATAAAAGAACTTCATAAAGTCGCGCGTTACAAATTTATTATATACAAATTTAGCATATTTACCTTTGTCTCTCAAATCTTTTGCTTCTTTAAATAATTGTTTTCGCAATTCTAAAGTTCTTTCGCTGTAGTCTTCGTTTACATAAAATCGATCGTTCCACAACTTTAACTGAACATAGTTATCCAACGCAGTTTTTTTGTCTTTGTAATTTAAAAATTTAACTATTATGTTCTGTTGTACATTTTTCCATCGCTACTTTTTTTCCCCGTCCTGTGCGCCTGTTCAATTTTAACATTACCTTTACATCCAAGTTTTGTCTTTAAAATATTTTGAATCTTTTCTTCGCTCAACTCCCTTGTTTCATTTTCGTCTTCTTCGATTCCCGTAAATCTTAGGTTATTTCTTCTGCTCCTGTCTTGCAACTCAACTAGTTTTTCTTTGACAACAACGTTTCCTGTATCATTTTGGTTTGATGATAAGTTTGGCTTTTTTTTATTTCACAAAGTTCTTGAACAACTGATTAATATTTCTCGCTTAGAAACTCCGCCGATTTTCTTAGTTCATTTGTTTCTTTTTTTAGTTTTATATTTTCTTCTTGAAGATTTAATAGCTTAATTTCCATTTTGTCAAACTTCTCGTTAAATATTTTTAATAAAGTATTCTTATGAATATCTAATAGGTCTTTAATTTGAGAAACAATAAATTTAGGCATATTTAATTTAGTTTACAAAAGCACGTCTGTTCACGTCAAAAGTTTTTGCGTAATTTGAATTTGCATATTGAATATTTGGGTAATTTGAATTTGCATAATTTGAATAATCGTTGCGCTAAATTTATTTTACAGTGAAGTTGTCGAGATAAAAAAAATGTCACGCAATAAAAAGTAAGCAAGAAATTTCGTAAAGAGTGAGCAAAATATTTAATCCAGATTTTTAAGGTGGTCCTATACTAAAAAAAATCAAAAAAATCAAATTATTCAAAAATTGCATATTCTTGAAGCCCAAACATTCTACATTCCAAATATATAAAGACCATCAAAGGAAGCGAATTTAAAAATGCTCTAAAATAGCTAGTTTCATAGTAAAGTTAAATTATTTTCTTTGCAACGGCCTTAGCAACGGGTTGTTTATATGAGAAAATAGGTAATTTAGAGTGTTGCGCCATTTACTTTAAGTTTTGACATTTGTGCTAGTAACTGTTTCATGTTTATTTTTCTAAATAAGCCATGATTTGTAAGTACAATTATTATGTTTACATATATTGCTTATAGAAAAACTATCAGCTTCGTGTTTTACTTTATTTGCCTCGTGCTAATTTTTGTTATGGGAAAAATTAAATGTGATTCAAATTTAAGAAGAAAAGCAGGTGGTAACAGAACAAAAAAAAAAATACTTCGGAGGAAATCAATTTTCTTCAGCATCAACAATCAGCATTAATTTAACTTCTAATCGAAAATCACTAACTCAACTCAATCAAAAATTTTGACATAAACATCTTCAAAAAAGTTATCACATAGCAGTAAAAATAGTAATGCAAAAATTAATGATTCAAATAAATTGCCTCATGTTTTATACTTATTGACACAGACATTTTTAAATCAATTGTTACTTTGATTGGACTTTGTCCTAAATGCCATAACAATTCAATTAAAATCTCAACTGATTTATCAAAAAAGAAAAAGGCTTGGCAATGTTTCTTCGTGCGATTGGAAACAGTCTTTTTATTCTAGCAAAGAGAAAGAAAAAGCAATGTCCAGGAATGTCACCATTTGAAATAAATTATAGATCTGTTATTGCAATGAGAGAGATAGGAAAAGGTCATTCTGGTTTGAAGAAATTTTGTGGTTAATGAACTTACCTCCTCCAATGAACATAAAAGCATTTAATGATATTCAAGATAAAGTTTATATCATATACCAAAGTGTAGCTGATGTGAAAATGAAAAATGCAGCAAATGAATTTCGATATCCTAACAACGGTATTCAACCAAATGATTTTGATATTAATGTAATAGCTGATGTTGTTGTTTCCTGTGATGAAACTTGGCAAAAAAGGGGTCATTCCTCACTTAATGGTGTTGTTACTGTTATTGCTAGTGACTCAGGGAAATGTGTTGACCATCGAGTTTTTTCAAAAATATGCAATGCCTGTACATCATGGGAATCAAAAAAAGATAGCGAACCAGAACTTTATGAAAATTTTTTGGAAACCCATAACTTTCTATATAATCACGAAGGTTCTGCTGGATCTATGGAAGTTTCTGGAATTGTAGATTGTTTTATGAAATCTATAGACTGATGGAAAAAAAGTTGCTTGACTCAATATAACAAAGAAAAAAAACATGCACAAAATTGACGAAATAAGCTTCTGCGTACCACTGTGTCACCCATCATTATCTAAATAAATTATGTGAGGTTATAATCAACGACTGCCACAGAAACGAGTACTTGATTACATGCAGAGAAATTTTT